CATGCGCTATTTCCCATACAAAATTGAAAATACTCCGCAACTTTCGTTAATAATTCATTTGATTTTGATTTATATATATATCATATTCTCGATTCATAAATAGTAACAAATGACATTTTGTAAGTAACTAATCAAGTGTCGTAAAACATTTTCCGATTTTATTGCGACCTATATCCGGCGCACGCACTCAACGGAAGCCCGCAGTAATCAGGTCAGAGTACTATTTGCGGTCCGGCATGTTGTTGATGTTGATCGTGCAACCGGAGAAGGTTGAATTGGTGAAAAATCCAGGCGTAAAATTGTTTGTTGATCACACAGACACTTGAGACAGGCAGCTGGTGTTAGGGATCAAAGCAGGAGATACCGATAAGTTCGGTAGTGACACTGTTAAGTCGCTCGGAGGTGCAAAGACCAACTTCAGTTATAGTCTCATAAGATGAAGCTGCTATTGGCAGTACTTTAGTAGTAATAAAGAAGGGCTTTGCCACACCAAATGTAAATATATATTGATAAACACTGCCCAGGACCGTATGTCTATAAATTGATAAACACTGACCAGGTCCCTCTGTCTATATATTGATACATGTGAACATTAACCAGGACCGTATGTCTATATATTGATAAACACTGACAAGGACCGTATGTCTATATATTGATACACATTGACAAGGACCGTATGTCTATAGATAAACACTGACAAGGACCTTATGTCTATATATTGATAAACACTGACCAGGACCGTATGCCTATATATTGATAAACACTGACAAGGAACGTATGTCTATATATTGATACACATTGACAAGTACCGTATGTCTATAGATAAACACTGACAAGTACCTTATGTCTATATATTGATAAACACTGACCAGTATTCATAAACACTGACAAGGACCGCATGTCTTTATATTCATAAACACTGACCAGGACCATATGTCTCTATATTGATAAACACTGACCAGGACCGTGTGTCTAGACAAGGACCGTATGTCTATATATTGATAAACACTGACCAGGACCGTGTGTCTATATATTGATAAACACTGACCAGGACCGTATATCTATATATTGATAAACACTGACCAGGACCGTATGTCTATATATTTATAAACACTGACCAGGAACGTATATCTATATATTGATAAAAACTGACCAGGACCGTATATCAATTGACGAGGACCGTATGTCTATACATTGATAAACACTGACCCCCCCCGTATGTCTATATATTGAAAAACACTGACAAGGACCGGCTGACTATATATTGATAAACACTGCCCAGGACCGTATGTCTAGATATTGATAAACACTGACAGGGACCGTATGTCTATATGTTGATAAACACTGACCAGTCTATATATTGATAAACACTGACCAGGACCGTATGTCTATATATTGAAAAACACTGACAAGGACCGGCTGTCTATATATTGATAAACACTGACCAGGACCGTATGTCTATATATTCATAAACACTGACCAGGACCGTATGTCTAGATATTTATAAACATTGACCAGGACCTTATGTCTATATATTGATAAACACTTACGAGGACCGTATGACTATATATTGATAAACACTGACCAGGGCCGTATGTCTATATATTGATACAGGTAAACACTGACCAGAACCGTATGTCTATATATTGATACAGGTGAACACTGACCAGGACCGTATGTCTAGATATTTATAAACATTGACCAGGACCTTATGTCTATATATTGGTAAACACTGACCAGGACCGTATGTCTTTATATTGATAAACACTGACCAGGACCGTATGTCTATATATTGATAAACACTGACAAGGACTGTATGTCTATATACTAATAAACACTGACCAGGACCGTATGTCTATATATTTATAAACATTGACCAGGACCGTATGTCTATATATTGATAAACACTGACCAGGACCGTATGTCTATATATTGATAAACACTGACCAGGACCGTATGTCTATATATTAATAAACACTGCCCAGGACCGTATGTCTATATATTGATAAACACTGACCAGGACCGTATGTCTAGATATTAATAAACACTGCCCAGGACCGTATGTCTATATATTGATACACACTGACCAGGACCGTATGTCTATATATTAATAAACACTGCCCAGGACCGTATGTCTATATATTTATACACACTGACAAGGTCCGTATGTCTATATATTGATACACACTGACCAGGACCGTATGTCTATATATTGATAAACACTGACAAGGACCGTGTGTCTATACATTGATAAACACTGACCAGGACCGTATTTCTATATATTGATAAACACTGACAAGGACCGTATGTCTATATATTGATACACATTGACAAGGACCGTATGTCTGTATATTGACAAGCACTGACCATGAAGACTCTAAAACTGAAAATCATGTATCAGACTTGTATACTGATAAACTGAAAATAATCTATATAACTACCTACTCTTTCTTGCACATTGATGTGTTGATCTTGTTTGTATTGATCTGCTTTCCATATAGAATGATCTACATTCTGATTGGTCAGAATAAGATCACGTGAAGGTTGTCGATTTTTGATGTTGTCTCGATGTTATTTATTTAGACGCATCTTTATTAAGGTTCAACAAGCCCCTAAAAGATTCTGTAGTCACCTAAAATGTCAACCCTCTGATAAAAAGTGTTCAAAGACCTCAATTAAAAATCGGAACTTATATATGTAACACTTTTATTTGTATATATTAAACTTGTACATTGGCTATACACAAAATACATAGCCAGGTTAACGTAGTCAAAAATAAGGCATTAAGGCTTATGTCTTCATAAAAATATATCACTGGACTTAAAAAACATGTCAATTTCTTTTACGATTCAACTCAGTGCTGAGAAATGACCCATAATTTAAAGTTTATTTATATTCCAGGTCATGTGGAGCTCTATTTCTCTTCTACTAGCTGTTTAGAGGAATTCCGACCTCAAATAAAGATTGATGTTGCAATACGAAACCAATAGAATCATAGTAAAATCGCCTGGTAATGCTTTCTAGCAATTTATAAATAAGAAAACAAAGGCTAAATAACATTGATAGATAAATGAACTTTAAATGATCTGCCATTTGATAATATTCTTTGATTATAGGAATGCGCTAGACATGTTTAAAAGTTGAAGCTGAAAAGTACAATAATGCTTATACATGTAACACTTCTAGCTCTTTTATAAAAACATTGAATGTTAACAAAGGGCATTTATATGAAGTTTAAGTAGTGTTTATGGTCAAAGGTCTATGGTTTTACACGTTTATACCGGTAAAATTTGTTACGCGGACGTTTTACTATGATTTTTGTACTTTCCTATAGCAACAATCATTTTCTTGTGAGGCCGCTATACATCTCCCCCATGGTTAAAGAGAGATACAGCCCCGCATGACCTAGGTTTATAAATGATCTTCAAATAACAAGTCACTTCGTAACATTCAGTTGGGTCGCTTAAGAGATTGACATTTTATAAATCTTGTTAGCAACGTTTATCATTATATCAGCCTTAATGCCGTATTTTGACTTCGTTAACTTGGTTAAGTACCTTTTTGATATATCATGTACAAGTTCAATATATTAAATTACATATATATATATTCCGTTTTTTTAATATGACTTGCCGGGGGGCTGAAATTTAGGGTGACTATTACATCTTTTAGGGGACCTGTGGAACCTAAGGCACATTTATAATTGTAACTTTACAGTGCACTCTGCTACAGATGTACATTCAGTATAATGAATTTTATTTTAATAATATATTCCATCTGATGTTTGAATCAAGGATGTTGTTCTGTTGAATATGTGGTTACGTGCATCTGAACAGTAATATTGACCGTGACAAATTGGAGGTCATAATCGCTTAATCAGGTCAACATAACCTCATATTTACCTCAGCAAAAATATACGATTGATACGTATAAGATGAAGTTAATACCTTTTCTCAAATAACACAGTTTCGTCATACTACAACCCTTCTGTGTATTTTATTGACAGGAACCGAGTTAAAAATGCACACAACTTTAAATCCGTTTATTCCATGCGTTCAATTCGAGTCATTTCCAACATATCAACTAAAGATTGCAACATTGCCACTCCAGACTCGTTTAGGATTCGTGTTTCCATGCCAACTTTCTCCAAATCGTCAATGCTGGAACGTAAGTTCATAGCTAGTTGTGTAGCGCGCTTCATATATCCCGCCCTTGTGTGGAAGGTCACCAGACCAGTTGAGACGTAGGCGGCATGGAAGGCTTTGTCATAATCCCTTAGCTGTCGTCGAATTGAGGATTTCACCTGAGCCTTTTTCAGGTTAGCATGGTCCGTGTACGTTCCATGAACAAGTTCAGCGTAGAAGAGAGACGTGTGTATGAATTCATGAACTATTTGTTCTGCGTAAAAGGGAACAACCCATTCTTTTTCTAGCACTGGGATCCATCCATATGACGCCAAGAGCAGAACTGACTGTTCCACCCGCATAATATCGTGTCTCTGCCTTGTAAAACGCAATGCAGCCGACTAACTGTACTATGGCCTTGTGTAAACCAGGTGATACTTGTTGAATCAATCCAAATGCTTCATCCACATTTTTTATAATTTGTTCCTGTTCTTCCCCACTGAAGGTGTGGTTGCCAGCTGTGACGTATTCTTCACTAAAGTCAACTAACGTTGACCTATTGAGACCGTCAACAAGCGCAGGGTCATCGAAACTGTAGACTACCTTGTGTTCCTCGACTGGAATTTCAATCATCTGGTAATGTGATAAATGCTTAAAGAACGCTACCTTCGTCGCTTCTTCTTTAGACGTAGAAGAGAACACCGTTAACCCTAACAGTTGGTTAAATCTTGAGATCTTATGATTAAATGGCCAAAATGCATTTACAAACGCGTTTGTTAAGCTCATACCATGAAGGGAAGATTTGATTGAGAGCGTTTTCATAGTAGGGGACATTGATCTGTCCACATGCGATATCAGAGGCAAGAATTCGTTCCATTAGTCCAAGAATGTCATCGCATTTTCTGGTATATGACGCCTTGAAACCGCTTTCACTTCGGACAACCAGCCTACAGTATCTTGAAAGTCATCATAAAACGATTTCCTTTGGAATAAACACATCCCGTTGTAAGAAGCTTCTTTTACATCTTGATGATTTCCATTTTCTCTTGACTGCTCGGCGTTCATGGCCGTCATAAAAAGTTTTTCAGAGATATTTCGGTTTGAAAGGTCACTAAATCCAGCTTTATGAGCAGCTTTTATTGTTTTCTTTGTTGTTTTGTTATTGGGATCTTTACTAATATCAACATAGTCAGCGTCTCGAATCTGTAACCTGTTTGCTTCAACATTTGGATCTCTATCATAAACAAAGTCATCAGCGTCCCGAATCTGAAACCTGGTTACTCTACCCTTCGAATCTTCACTGAAATCAGCTACATCTACGTCCCGAGTTTGCAACCTGGTTACTACAACCTTCGCATCTTCGCTAAAATCAGCATCATCTGCCTCCCGGGTCTGCAACCTGGTTACTCTAACGTTCGGATCTTCACTGAAATCAGCATCATCTGCGTCCCGAGACTGCAACCTGGTGACTCTAACCTTCGGATCTTCACTGAAATCAGCATCATCTGCGTCCCGAGTCTGCAACCTGGTTACTCTAACCTTCTTATCTTCACTGAAATCAGCATCATCTGCGTCCCGAGACTGCAACCTGGTGACTCTAACCTTCGGATCTTCACTGAAATCAGCATGATCTGCGTCCCGAGTCTGCAACCTGGTTACTCTAACCTTCGGATCCTCACTGAAATCAGTTTCATCTGCATCCCGAGTCTGCAACCTGGTGACTCTAACGTTCGGATCTTCACTGAAATCAGCATCATCAGCGTCCCGAGTCTGCAACCTGGTTACTCTAACCTTAGGATCTTCAGTTAAATCAGCTTCATCTGCGTCCCGAGTCTGCAACCTGGTGACTCGAACGTTCGGATCTTCACTGAAATCAGCATCATCTGCATCCCGAGTCTGCAACCTGGTTACTCTTACCTTCGGATCTTCACTGAAATCAGTATCATTTGCGTCCCGAGTCTGCAACCTGGTTACTCTAACCTTCGGATCTTCGCTAAAATCAGCATCATTTGCCTCCCGGGTCTGCAACCTAGTTACTCTAACCTTCTTATCTTCACTGAAATCAGCATCATCTGCGTCCCGAGTCTGCAACCTGGGTACTCTAACCTTCGGATCTTCACTGAAATCAGCATCATCTGCGTCCGGAGTCTGCAACCTGGTTACTCTAACCTTCGGATCTTCACTGAAATCAGCTTCATCTGCGTCCGGAGTCTGCAACCTGGTTACTCTAACCTTAGGATCTTCACTGAAATCAGCATCACCTGCATCCCGAGTCTGCAACATGGTTACTCTAACCTTTGGATCTTCACTGAAATCAGTATCCTCTGCGTCCCGAGTCTGCAACCTGGTTACTCTAACCTTCGGATCTTCACTGAAATCAGTATCACCAGTGTCCCGAGTCTGCAACCTGGTTACTCCAACGTTCGGATCTTCAATGAAATCAGCATCATCTGCGTCCCGAGTCTGCAACCTGGTTACTCTAACCTTCGGATCTTCACTGAAATCAGTATCATCAGTGTCCCGAGTCTGCAACCTGGTTACTCCAACGTTCGGATCTTCAATGAAATCAGCATCATCTGCGTCCCGAGTCTGCAACCTGGTGACTCGAACGTTCGGATCTTCACTGAAATCAGCATCATCTGCGTCCCGAAACTGCAACCTGGTTACTCTAACCTTCGGATCTTTACTGAAATCAGCAGCATCTGCCTCCCGAGTCTGCAACCTGGTTACTCTAACCTTCGGATCTTCACTGAAAATAGCATCATCGGCATCCCGAGTCTGCAACCTGGTTACTCTAACCTTCGGATTTTCACTGAAATCAGCATCATCAGTGTCCCGAGTCTGCAACCTGGTTACTCTAACCTTAGGATCTTCACTGAAATCAGCATCATCAGCGTCCCGAGACTGCAACCTGGTTACCAACCTGGTTACTCTAACCTTCGGATCTTTACTGAAATCAGCAGCATCTGCCTCCCGAGTCTGCAACCTGGTTACTCTAACCTTCGGATTTTCACTGAAATCAGCATCATCAGTGTCCCGAGTCTGCAACCTGGTTACTCTAACCTTAGGATCTTCACTGAAATCAGCATCATCCGCATCCCGAGTCTGCAACCTGGTTACTCTTACCTTCGGATCTTCACTGAAATCAGCTTCATCTGCGTCCCGAGTCTGCAACCTGGTTACTCTAACCTTAGGATCTACACTGAAATCAGCATCATTTGCGTCCCGAGTCTGCGACCTGGTTACTCTAACATACGGATCTTCGCTAAAATCAGCATCATTTGCGTCCCGAGTCTGCGACCTGGTTACTCTAACATACGGATCTTCGCTAAAATCAGCATCATCTGCCTCCCGGGTCTGCAACCTGGTCACTCTAACCTTCGGATCTTCACTGAAATCAGCATCATCAGCGTTCCGAGTCTGCAACCTGGTTACTCTAACCTTAGGATCTTCACTGAAATCAGCATCATCAGTGTCCCGAGTCTGCAACCTGGTTACTCTAACGTTCGGATCTTCACTGAAATCAGCATCATCATCTGCGTCCCGAGTCTGCAACCTGGTGACTCGAACGTTCGGATCTTCACTGAAATCAGCATCATCTGCGTCCCGAGTCTGCAACCTGGTTACTCTAACCATCGGATCTTCACTGAAATCAGCAGCATCTGCGTCCCGAGTCTGCAACCTGGTTACTCTAACGTTCGGTTCTTCACTGAAATCAGAATCATCTGCCTCCCGAGTCTGCAACCTAGTTACTCTAACCTTCGGATTTTCACTGAAATCAGCATCATCGGCATCCCGAGTCTGCAACCTGGTTACTCTAACCTTCGGATCTTCGCTAAAATCAGCATCATCTGCGTCCCGAGTCTGCAACCTGGTACTCTAACCTTCGGATTTTCACTGAAATCAGCATCATCTGCGTCCCGAGTCTGCAACCTGGTTACTCTAACCTTCGGATTTTCACTGAAATCAGCATCATCTGCAACCCGAGTCTGCAACCTGGTTACCCTAACCTTAGGATCTTCACTGAAATCAGCATCATCTGCAACCCGAGTCTGCAACCTGGTTACCCTAACCTTAGGATCTTCACTGAAATCATCATCATATCTTCGCTAAAATCAGCATCATTTGCCTCCCGGGTCTGCATCCTAGTTACTCTAACCTTCTTATCTTCACTGAAATCAGCATCATCTGCGTCCCGAGTCTGCAACCTGGTACTCTAACCTTCGGATTTTCACTGAAATCAGCATCATCAGCGTCCCGAGTCTGCAACCTGGTTCCTCTAACCTTCGGATTTTCACTGAAATCAGCATCATCAGCGTCCCGAGTCTGCAACCTGGTTACTCTAACCTCAGGATATTCACTGAAATCAGCATCATCAGCGTCCCGAGACTGCAACCTGGTTACTGTAACCTTCGGATTTTCACTGAAATCAGCATCATCAGTGTCCCGAGTCTGCAACCTGGTTACTCTAACCTTCGGATCTTCGCTAAAATCAGCATCATCTACCTGGTTACTCTAACCTTCGGATCTTTACTGAAATCAGCAGCATCTGCCTCCCGAGTCTGCAACCTGGTTACTCTAACCTTCGGATTTTCACTGAAATCAGCATCATCAGTGTCCCGAGTCTGCAACCTGGTTACTCTAACCTTAGGATCTTCACTGAAATCAGCATCATCAGCGTCCCGAGTCTGCAACCTGGTTCCTCTAACCTTCGGATCTTCGCTAAAATCAGCATCATCTACCTGGTTACTCTAACCTTCGGATCTTTACTGAAATCAGCAGCAACTGCCTCCCGAGTCTGCAACCTGGTTACTCTAACCTTCGGATCTTCGCTAAAATCAGCATCATCTGCATCCCGAGTCTGCAACATCATCAGTGTCCCGAGTCTGCAACCTGGTTACTCTAACCTTAGGATATTCACTGAAATCAGCATCATCAGCGTCCCGAGTCTGCAACCTGGTTCCTCTAACCTTCGGATCTTCGCTAAAATCAGCATCATCTGCGTCCCGAGTCTGCAACCTGGTAACTTTAACCTTCGGATTTTCACTGAAATCAGCATCATCAGTGTCCCGAGTCTGCAACCTGGTTACTCTAACCTTAGGATCTTCACTGAAATCAGCATCATCTGCATCCCGAGTCTGCAACCTGGTAACTTTAACCTTCGGATCTTCACTGAAATCAGCATCATCAGCGTCCCGAGACTGCAACCTGGTTACTCTGACCTTTGGATCTTCACTGAAATCAGCATCATCTGCATCCCGAGTCTGCAACCTGGTTACTCTAACCTTCGGATCTTCACTAAAATCAGCATCATCTGCGTCCCGAGTCTGCAAACTGTTTGCTTCAGCATTTAAGTTGTTAGTTAAATCAGCTCCAAAGGTGTCATGCGTTTGCAAGTTACTCACTTTTACATGCAGATCATTACTGGGCCAGTTTACTCCTATGTAGCTTCTTGCAACTTTGATAAGTTTACTTAACCTCTGAACGTTTTTGAAACTACCTGAAAAATAACAAATAAATGATAACATATTAGTACCCCGAGATGGATATAACTTTCGTTTGGAGATTTTACAGACAGCATCGTTACGATTTCGGAAAAGGCAGCAAATATTTCACAGAGATTACGTTGATACAGTTATTACTTGTGCCTGGACAATACTCAAAACTAAGTATTTCAGTTTTTTCTATACGAAATTGAAAATACAGAACTTAACCGAAGTCACGAATTTTATAGACAAGCGGCGCCCTCTCGGCTCTCACCCATGTGTGCATGAAATGTTTTTAAGGTAAAACTGTCACGAACTATGTCTTGTTCAAATACGTATTATTCTCAACTTCTCAAAGTGCTTAGTATACAGAAATAAGTCTTACGTCGTAACGGATTCACGTGTTTTATTCAATGTTTTACCTTACATAATACGTTGTCTGTTCACGTGCGGGGAAAGAATAGACATGCTGTATTAATAAGTACGTAGTCTACGCTGTTACTACATTGTACCACATGAATTATTTTGTAACACATGCTATTTTTTTACTCATACATATTATGATTAGCACATATGACGAATTTGCCTGTAGGCCTACTAACGTGAGGCTATATGCTGTGTAAGTTTTAAGTACGTGTACTAAGTATATGATACTGAGATTTCCTGATTGAGGAATAGTTCGTGTGTGATTTTCGCAACATACTGATCAGATTTAAACATCAAGGACGGTCAAACCAAACATACTTACTATTCATCTATTAAAAATGCAATTCAAATTGTCGTTGTGTGCTTAAAACTAACACGGCCCCTTATGGAACATCTATATGGTTTTGTTAGAAATAGGGCATGGCTTAGGTGCAGTGGTTAAATCTGTCTCGAAAAACCTTTTCACGATACATCGCTCTTTAATTCGTTTTCAAACCAATCGTAGCAGCCTTGTTTATTTGAAATTACGATTAAAATCTTTAGATTTATTTACATTTACGATACAAATTACCACTTAAGAGAGGGGTAAAGCTATCGTAAAGTTACGATAATTTTTTGTGAAACGGAACAAAAATTTCTCTTACGAGTAAAATTTATCGTAGGATTTTTTGTGAAATTGTTCACTGGAGGCCAGTTTAGTGGATGTGTGCTACAGACTTATGTACTATATAATGGATAGACTAGAGTGAGAAAGTGAGTGAGTGCGCCCTAAATATTTAGGATTTTATATAATTGTTAATAAATATTTGAAATTGTAATCAATTCGTTGTAGTTCTTTTTCCCGAATTACTAACCGAAGCTCGTCCCAAGTGACAGTGTTATCTACCAAAGAAACAAATCGGCTAGTGTTATGTAGACAAGAAGCTATGCATAAAGACAACGTAATATAATTGGAAAGTTTGGTATAACAATGCGACAGAGCGATCTACATGTAACTAAATGACAATGCTTATTACAAAAATTATTAAAACACGATTTGAATCTTAGACACTTCTTCATTTACGCTTATCAAAAATACATTTGCTTTAAAATATACATGCTAAAAATATTTGATATAAATGTCTTCAATCGGTTTTGTTTTGTTTTTGTCATTCGCATACTGCCTTAAAAACATTAGTGTTGCGTTTGCTACAACACAATTACGGTGATAACAGGTTAAATTACTACAAACTGTACACTTACCTTGAGATTGGACGCATGAGAGATAAGTTGTCAGGATAATGATTATTACAATAATTCTAGCCATCCTGGAGTGTTTGTGGTCATTCAAAAACCTACTTATTTATAATTATTAGCTGGCATTATCGCATCATAACGATTGGTTGAAATCTGCTATCGGGTGACCTTGTTCAGTAAGGCATTGTTCTACAATGATCAACAGCAGTCGTATTTACATGACCTCAGCTGTTATTAGGATGTTAAACAATGAAAACCAAACCAAGCCTAGAGCGGCCGACACATCTAATATCTATAATATGTATACGAGTTGTAAATATACATGTACAAATCTTACAATATATATGTGATATGTTTACTAATTTAACAGGTTTTATTATAAATGTGTATATGTACACAACTTATATCTAATATGTATATGGATTTTACATGTAATTTTTCACAATGTGTACTTCAGATTTTGCTAATGTCTGCCAATTCCAATAAGAAGATCTTCCAACCCGTATCTTTGAACTCTATACTCAACACCTGTTTTTTCTCATACATTTTGTTTTCTAGATAACACAATTTAAATTCGTTTCCGAATAGAATAACTCTAATAAAAACTCTATACTTTAAAACTTACATTGCCTATCCATATTTGTAATTTACGAGATGTAATTGAGCTTTTAAACAGACAGTGTAGTCGTATTTTCTTTTTTCAAAACCCGGTTAATAGTTATGAGCATAGTAAGCAATGCTAAACGCTTGTGGCGTATCTCGTGTAATAATGAATGACGGGAAATTTTAAACGTAATTTGATAAAATGTGGAAAGTATGTTTCAGAAGATAGATTATCATTCTTTTGATCTTTACTACTATTCAAATGACAAATATATGATAGGGTTCAATATGTTTACTTTGTAAAGTTTTCTGCATTGAATGTTTAAATGTTTAAATAGGCGATTCCTTATATTGTATTTTTATTGAGATCTATATTCTAAATGTGTATGGCGGCGCGCGGTGGTCAAATGGTTAAGGCGTCTGATAGTCTGCTACCACTCGCCATCTGGATCTGTTCATAGCCCATGAAAAGCTTGAAAGGAGAAGTTACTCTAAGGTAGATAACTCCTTTTGGTTGATTACTCCAAATCAAAAAGGACTAAGGGCGTTAAGGGTCCTTTCTGGCCTCATCAGGGCTTTTGAATTAGTACATATATTCGTAATCTGGAATAAATGAAGTACGCAAACATGAAATTTTAAATTCATTCGACAAACTGGTTTTGGAGATATGACATTACAAAGAGAGACAAAACACCGCATTTTCGTAATAAAAAGCGTGAACATCGTCCGTTTTGCGGTATTTGGTGGAAACTTGGCCATTTTGAAGGAATTTAACTAAACACTCTTTAATTTTTGAAAGCCTCTGCATGCAACAAGCAAATAAATATTTGAAATGCTTAAACATTCTCATACCATAGTTCATTCGTAAAAAGGATTTTTTGTTTGTCACATGCGGAGTCTTTCATTTCTGCATGCCAACTGTCCAAAACACCCTATTTTGGCTACTTATGCATAGCAACGCAATTTTGATTTTTAGAACGGGAATTGGTAAATAGATTCAATTTGATTTTTTTACTTTTTATGAGGCCAAAAATGACCCATAACGCCCCAAGTTCTTTCTGAGTGGAGCTTTTCTCGCAATTATAAATGATGCTGTACGTGTGGTACCGTTTACCTTAAAACGAAATTCGCCCAAAACTGACGAGATCTGTCCTGCATTGTTATAACCTAATAGTGTCTTACTAAGTGATGACAAGCTCAAATATTTACTGATATATAATGATTACATTATGTTTATATTTTAAACGTATGCTATTTAACATGTATCTTAATGCATACAGAGTACACGTGTATTCGTAACTAAATATGTATTGAATTTATTTAGCATTTTTTTCACAAGGATACAATGAAAGTATTTGAATAACTAGATGTACGTGTATGCCAATAATAAACATATATGGAAATAGTTAAATAGCCGCCGATGACAACTTAACTAAATAGAAATGTAAATAACGAGACTACTAATTTTTTGAGTCAACACCTTTACATTATATGTGAAATCGATAAGGTTTCTTTGTCCTTGTTTGAATGGTCCTCGCGTGTTGTATAGATCCGGACCTAGCGTAGTATTATCCTTGGGGAATTTAAAGTAATGTCTTTTCCTGGTGTAAGCTCCGCTGGAACTCGGTGGGTATTTAATTGTGTGATGTTGTTATACAGATATCTACCCATGGCCAGGCTACCTGTGTTTGTTACTACCGGTTTGGGTAGACGCTAATTATTTCACTTATTCGGGGACGTAACATGCCGACTTCACGTCAGCAGAGATACACATGCCAAATATCAATAGGGAGTACCCGTAAACCCCCGGGGGAGGAGAACATAACCCCCGGGCAAGACAGTGCTCAACCTCCTGATGTAGTCATGGACTCGGAAAAGAAATTAAAACAGTCAACTGAAGATATGGACCCAGTTAGAACAGAAGACGTAGGAACACGTCTAAAGGATACACAGCGGGCAGACGTAGACACTTCCAATCCAGTCTCTCCTAAACTCAGACAATCCTATTTAAATTTCTTTAAGGAAGCTGACACGTCCGGTATTGGTCAGATAACTGTCCACCAGTTCAGAGACGCAGTGGTCAAGGTTGGATTTAAGGGGACATCTTTCCAAGTTGCCGTAAGTATATACTGTATATATGCCGGATTGTTTGTGAATGCTGACGAGGGAAACGAGAGGAACTGGACATATTTAAGATATGGAAGGTGACAAGTTATCAATAACAATATACATTGTGTTTGGTCATATACAGGTGTTCTAGTGTAGGAGGAGAAGTAGTGGTGTAGCTGGCCACAGAGGCCGGGGACATTGAGGAGGGTAGGAGGCAGATGAGAGCGGGAAGGACGGGCTGGGACTAGTGGATTTAAAAAATAAGGAGGGGTCGGGGTGGGACCAGTGAGGGTGGGGATATGTAGGGGTGGGAATATGTAGGGGTGGGGTCGGGCTTGGGAGTAGAGAGATGGGCCACGTCGGTACAATGTACAGTAGTGTAGACGAAAATAAATGGAGGGGAGTGGATGTTGGCCTTAGCAAGATTGAGACACGGACGAGGATTATCAACGGCAATATACATGTACATTTGAGTACAAACTAGGTCGTTAATTATTAGAAAAATAATGTTAAAGTCAAACCCTGAACAGTCTAATTGAAATAGTCTACTGATTAACACGAACATAAATAACTTCACAGCTTGAAAAACTTGCTGATACGTAGACTGGTTAGCTTGATTCTACAGTTGTGTCCAGGAATGTTTTTATGTGGTAAGAAATACCCCCTTGGCCTGAGCCGTGGATGACGTTTCCTACTCCACGTCCGATATTGAACGGTGCTTCAATTAGGACCTGTCATACCTCTACTGATTACATATTTATACTATACGATATAATAGACTTTATATTTACATATGAAGACAGGTAATTATGTCGCCGTGTACATGTCCAGACACAGTATGTAAACCAGCAAGGCGCATTGTGTTCCCTGATCAGTGAGAACCACTTATTAAATAATGGAATTTTAAACAGAACGTGACGCGTATTAAAGGCTTGCTCGGTAGCCATGTGAGGTATTTATGTACATTTATGTATGTATATATACTGTCAATTAGGTAAGCCGTCGCCTGATCTATTAACACGGGCACTATGTATACCTCTGTGTAATATACATATATATACACTGTGTAAAACAGTAATATAGTCATATTGCATTTTATTCTTGTTTGTCCAAGTAAGAACACAATACATTGATAGATATTACAGAATTAGACCGTCTATGTTTAAATTCATTAACTTACTTTCTGTCAAAAATAAGAAGAAATTGAATAATCTTTCCAAATTTTTAATTGCTGCTTCACAACTGAGATCAAATGAATAATTACAAGTATGTTGTCCATCCTCCATAATATGTCTGTATTGCTGTGTATCACTCATTCAATTTTGTAAAATGTGCTGTAATGTTTATGCTGATTAGCCGAAAGGCTAAAGGCCAATAAACTTTTGAACTTATGAACTCACTGGGTCATTGTATTGAGGCGTATAGTGGCATATGTTTGAAAGTGCCAACTTACATGTATATCTGGATTTTCCAATATGCATATTTCACTTAAGTCAGTAACCCTAACAGATTACTTACTTAGAATGCTTTGGAAATGTCTCTACTACGGCCGAGAACATAATGTACCATATACATTATAAAGGGTGGACCATTATATGTACAGTGTACATACACTGTAACCGAAAAAGCTTTCCAATCCTTGTATTATGTATGTTATTTGCATTACTACAATATAATGGCAATAAATAAAGTTAAAACTAATAACCGAAGTTTAAAATAAATATAAATCCTCAGCACACGATCTCAGAATAAAAGTAATCAGGATTTGTACAGTCCATGTCAGTTTAAACGTATAGGCGATAGATACCATTAAATATATAAATGAATAATCAAATTAATAATTCAAATATCTTTAAATCCATGCCACTTAAAGCTGACAGTGCAAGTTAAAAAGCTTTCAATTGAGATTAAAAAATAAATTTAAAAATCTGGTTTTGAAATCTTCCCCGTCTCTTCCGACTATAGTTTCCAAGGAAGTGCCGACATTTTAGTTTGTCCTTGCTTGGAAGCGAGTATGTGTCTCGCTGGGTATAAAAAGCGCATTACCTGCCAATCCGGTTCTCATTCTACAACTGGCCGTTTTGCTATTCATTGTGCGCGCATATATATACGCACCCTGATCGGTAACCGATATCAAAAATCAAACGCACTCACCTGAAGACTTTGAAACACCGCCAAACTGTTTGTTACTTATGGCACATTCTCCAAAATTGTGTATCCAAAATAACAGGTATATTGCTGAATCATCGGTCTTTTACGTGCACAGAACTGCACCAACACACCTAACGTGATGGTCGTATTTTACTACCATTCCCACCTTTCTTAGATACATGCCTTCTTTGATGTGTTCCATATTAATTTTATTTAACTGATCCGATACAAAATGTCGGTAAATAATCGTGAAAGTATTTTATATATATATATATATATAGTATACAAATGTAATAGCAAATGATAATTAGCTTTAAGATTGTCCTTTTATTGCCGACGACGTTGCTCCAAGCACTGTTACTTTAGAAGTATCGTGTTTAAATTATCAGAAATACTATCGTCAAATAAGATATGATCCTACTTGTGAAATGTAATTAAATACCACGAAGCTAATAAACAATGTAATGAAACTTGGTCTCCAGAGAATATGGTACAGACTGTACATGAAAGTGCATGTAACGAATGTCTGTTAACCGATCAATTTGTAACAAGGTATGTTAACCGATGTACACACTGTAACAAGGTCTGTTGGCCGATGTACATACTGTAACATGCTTATTGACCGATGTACACACTGTAACAAGGTCTGTTGACCGATGTACACTCTGTAACAAGGTCTGTTGACCGATGTACACTCTGTAACAAGGTCTGTTGACCGATGTACACTCAGTAACAAGGTCTGTTGACCGACGTACACACTGTAACAAGGTCTGTTGACCGATGTACACACTTTAACCAGGTCTGTTGGCCGATGTACATACTGTAACATGCTTATTGACCGATGTACACACTGTAACAAGGTCTGTTAACCGATGTACCCACTGTAACAAGGTATGTTGACCGATGTACACACTGTAACATGCCTATTGACAGATGTACACACTGTAACAAGGTCTGTTGACCGATGCACACACTGTAACAAGGTCTGTTGACCGATGTACACACTTTAGCCAGGTCTGTTGGCCGATGTACATACTGTAACAAGGTCTGTTGACCGATGTACACTCTGTAACAAGGTCTGTTGACCGATGTACACTCTTTAACCAGGTCTGTTGGCCGATGTACATACTGTAACATGCTTATTGACCGATGTACACACTGTAACAAGGTCTGTTGACCGATGCACACACTGTAACAAGGTCTGTTGACCGATATACACACTGTAACAAGGTCTGTTGATCGATGTACACACTGTAACAAGGTCTGTTAACCGATGTACACACTGTGACCAGGTCTGTTGACCGATGTACATACTGTAACAAGGTCTGTTGACCGATGTACACACTTTAGCCAGGTCTGTTGGCCGATGTACATACTGTAACAAGGTCTGTTGACCGATGCACACACTGTAACAAGGTCTGTTGACCGATATACACACTGTAACAAGGTCTGTTGATCGATGTACACACTGTAACAAGGTCTGTTGACCGATGTACACACTGTAACCAGGTCTGTTGACCGATGCACACACTGTAACAATGTCTGTTGACCGATGTACACACTGTAACCAGGTCTGTTGACCGATGTACACACTGTAACAAGGTCTGTTAACCGATGTACACACTGTAACCAGGTCTGTTGACCGATGTACATACTGTAACAAGGTCTGTTGACCGATGCACACACTGTAACAAGGTCTGTTGACCGATGTACACACTGTAACCAGGTCTGTTGACCGATGTACACACTGTAACAAGGTCTGTTGACCGATGTACAGAGTGTAACCATGCCTATTGACTGGTGTACTTAATGTAACATGCCTATTGACCGATATATCTCTTTGTTTTTGACTCGTTTAATGCAAGTAAAACACAGAGTAAAGTCAAGTATTAACCATTCAGTATACACTTGCATGTACTAGCCATAGAGGCGTGGTGATATACTACCCACATCTATAGCCCATTTATATAGATCCACGTGTACATTATAGCTTCATGTTCAATATATACATGAATAACTGTAAAATTTAAGGTGTTTTTATGACAAGGACAAATTAGTCTAAAAACAGAATCGAATTACTTTTGTAAACACAATAACACACAATAACGAGTCTTAAAACAGGTCATCTGCTGATAAATCATCAATCACTCAGCTGTCTTGTTAATTCAAATATCAAATATTTTCAAGTCGGTCCTAGCTCGATGCTGAACCGATTTTAAATTAAAATAAATACATTGTATAGTTCGTTGTCTTCTATCGTAATTGGCTCACCATACATGTGTTACAGGGGATGTTTGCAGATCTGAACCCGAACGATGACCTTATCGTTACGTTGGAGGCGTTCATGACGGAGATGTGTAAAGTGGACAGTAGAAAGAGGACGTAAGTATCACTGAATTCGAATATACCTATCATTTCACTGTCTATAAAGGCCACCATTCAGTAAATATCAGACAGTAGGACGAGGACGTAAGTATCACTGAATAGACCTATCATTTCATGGTCTATATTGTCCGTCATTCAGTAAATATCAGACAGTAGGAAGAGGACGTAAGTATCACTGAATAGACCTATCATTTCACTGTCTATATTGTCCACCATTCAGTAAATATCAGAGAGTAGGCAGAGGACGTAAGTATCACTGAATAGACCTATCATTTCACTGTCTATATTGTCCGTCATTCAGTAAATATCAGACAGTAGGAAGAGGACGTAAGTATCACTGAATAGACCTATCATTTCACTGTCTATATTGTCCGTCATTCAGTAAATATCAGACAGTAGGAAGAGGACGTAAGTATCACTGAATAGACCTATCATTTCACTGTCTATATTGTCCGTCATTCAGTAAATATCAGACAGTAGGAAGAGGACGTAAGTATCACTGAATAGACCTATCATTTCACTGTCTATATTGTCCGTCATTCAGTAAATATCAGACAGTAGGAAGAGGACGTAAGTATCACTGAATAGACCTATCATTTCACTGTCTATATTGTCCGTCATTCAGTAAATATCAGACAGTAGGAAGAGGACGTAAGTATCACTGAATAGACCTATCATTTCACTGTCTATATTGTCCGTCATTCAGTAAATATCAGACAGTAGGAAGAGGACGTAAGTATCACTGAATAGACCTATCATTTCACTGTCTATATTGTCCGTCATTCAGTAAATATCAGACAGTAGGAAGAGGACGTAAGTATCACTGAATAGACCTATCATTTCACTGTCTATATTGTCCGTCATTCAGTAAATATCAGACAGTAGGAAGAGGACGTAAGTATCACTGAATAGACCTATCATTTCACTGTCTATATTGTCCGTCATTCAGTAAATATCAGACAGTAGGAAGAGGACGTAAGTATCACTGAATAGACCTATCATTTCACTGTCTATATTGTCCGTCATTCAGTAAATATCAGACAGTAGGAAGAGGACGTAAGTATCACTGAATAGACCTATCATTTCACTGTCTATATTGTCCGTCATTCAGTAAATATCAGACAGTAGGAAGAGGACGTAAGTATCACTGAATAGACCTATCATTTCACTGTCTATATTGTCCGTCATTCAGTAAATATCAGACAGTAGGAAGAGGACGTAAGTATCACTGAATAGACCTATCATTTCACTGTCTATATTGTCCGTCATTCAGTAAATATCAGACAGTAGGAAGAGGACGTAAGTATCACTGAATAGACCTATCATTTCACTGTCTATATTGTCCGTCATTCAGTAAATATCAGACAGTAGGAAGAGGACGTAAGTATCACTGAATAGACCTATCATTTCACTGTCTATATTGTCCGTCATTCAGTAAATATCAAACAGTAGAAAGAGGACGTGAGTATCACTGAATAGACCTATCATTTCACTGTCTATAGTGTTCGTCATTCTGTAAATATCAGACAGTAGGAAGAGGACGTAAGTATCACTGAATAGACCTATCATTTTACTGTCTACATTGTCCACCATTCAGTAAATATCAGACAGTAGGAAGAGGACGTAAGCATCACTGAATAGACCTATCATTTTACTGTCTACATTGTCCCCCATTCAGTAAATATCAGACAGTAGGACGAGGACGTAAGTATCACTGAATAGACCTTTCATTTTACTGTCTACATTGTCCACCATTCAGTAAATATCAGGCAGTAGGAAGAGGACGTAAGTTTCACTGAATAGACCTAGCATTTCATTGTCTATATTGTCCGTCATTCAGTAAATATCAGACAGAAGGAAGAGGACGTAAGTATCACTGAATAGACCTATCATTTCACTGTCTATATTGTCCGTCATTCAGTAATTATCAGACAGTAGGACGAGGTCGTAAGTATCACTTAATAGACCTATCATTTCACTGTCTATATTGTCCGTCATTCAGTAATTATCAGACAGTAGGAAGAGGACGTAAGTATCACTGAATAGACCTATCATTTCACTGTCTATATTGTCCACCATTCAGTAAATATCAGACAGTAGGAAGAGGACATAAGTATCACCGAATAGACCTATCATTTCAATGTCTATATTGTCCGTCATTCAGTAAATATCAGACAGTAGGAAGAGTACGTAAGTTTCACTGAATAGACCTATCATTTCACTGTCTATATTGTCCGTCATTCAGTAAATATCAGACAGTAGGAAGAGGACGTAAGTATCACCGAATAGACCTATCATTTCAATGTCTATATTGTCCGTCACTCAGTAAATATCAGACAGTAGGAAGGGGACGTAAGTTTCACCGAATAGTCCTATCATTTCATTGTTTATATTTCTCGTCATTCAGTAAATATCAGGCAGTAGGAAGAGGACGCAACAGACAGTAGGAAGATGACGTAAGTATCACTGAACAGACCTATCATTTCAATGTCTATATTGACCGTCATTCAGTAAATATCAGGCAGTAGGAAGAGGACGTGAGTTTCACTGAATAGACTTATCATTTCATTGTCCATATTGTCCGTCATTCAGTAAATATCAGAGAGTAGGAAGAGGACGAAAGTTTCACTGAATATCCCTATCATTTCATTGACTATATTGTCCCTCATTCAGTAAATATCTGACAGTAGGAAGAGGACGTAAGATTCACTGAATAGACCAATCATTTCATTGTCTATCTTGTTCGTCATTCAGTAGATATCAGACAGTAGGGAGAGGACGTAAGTTTCAGTGAATAGACCTATCATATCATTGTCTATATTGTCTGTCATTCAGTAAATATCGGACAGTAGGAAGAGGCCGTAAGTTTCACTGAATTGACCTATCATTTCATTGTCTATCTTGTTCGTCATTCAGTAGATATCAGACAGTAGGAAGAGGACGAAAGTTTCACTGAATAAACACATCATTTCATTGTCTCTATTGTTCGTCATTCAGTAAATATCAGACAGTAGGAAGAGGACGTAAGTATCACGGAATAGACCTATCATTTCAATGTCTATACTGTCCGTCATTCAGTAAATATCTAACAAACATCACACGCTATAAACACAATATAGTGAACACGCACTGCCAAAACCAAACAACAAACATGCAGGTTAAACATCAAAAGGTGAACCAGCACTATCAACACCAAACCGTGAATGCACTCTGTAAACACCAAACACGCATGGTAAACATCCAACAAGGAACACGCACATCAAACACCAAAAAAAAAAGCATGCACTTTAAAAATTAAACAAGAGCACGCACTCTAAACAACAAACACGCTGATTTCAGAAAAACAATAAAAAAATAAAATAACAGATTGATAGATAAACAAAAATATATACATGACTAGTTAAAAAGGCAAACAAATAAATTCATCATCAACTCTAAAACTGTTTGATCACTAGTTTTATATTCTCGATGATGTAGACATTCTTATATGGTTTAGTAAAGGAGTGTTCTTAAACCAGCACAACATTAAAAACAATGTGATGTTTACCGTATAATCATGTATAAAATTAAATCCGTACCAGAGATTAAATGCTTATATCTACACTACATACATGTAATCGGGGTTTTTTCCAGTCAAAAAGACATAGAGGACATTTTTCATCTCCTTGATGTGGACAATGATGGCCTGATTACAAATAAGGATATCGCGACGTCATTAGAACGACAAAACAAGTTCAAACTTGATGACACTATCCAACGAATGATCCTCAAATACGATTTCGACTGTGACGGCGCGCTCTCTCTTGAAGACTTTTTGAAGGGGTGTCAACGCGATCAACGGAAGTGACATATGCTGCTTCCGGAAGTATGGACTTGCGAGTGCAAAGCTGTAAAGTGCCTTGATTCAGTGTACTGGACAGATGGGCGTTATTGACTACTCAGTAGTCGGACTCCTGCGTTGTGTGTGTTCTGTACACTGGAGCATTGTGTGAGTGTATACATGTAACTGCATGTAAAAAAGTAACGAACGGAAACCATAATGTGTCCTAAAAATGATTCCGTCATTTATCAGTGTGTTACACGTTTGGTTCACCATTATAAATATTATACACAATCTATCACCATGCTGGTAGTGTCCTCAAGACAAATGGTTGTTAATCTTATTACGCACGTGCGTTTATGTTGGTGACGTCTTTTGATTATACATTAACACCAATCATCATAATTTACTGTAATATCTTTCACTGCGTATGGGTTTGTGAAATGTAGGTTTCTAATATATATATATGAGGATACATGTGCTTAAACAAATGGACCGCTGGCCTGCACCCAGACAGTTATCCCGGAGAGTACGCTGACGAGTTGTCTTTCTTTGAACATATGTGTCATGATACATTGGTGTGGATGTTTGGATTTCCCTGTTCCACTTTATTTTAGGACGAAGCACCCTGCTCAATTTCTTTGAATGTGTGACCCAAAAGCGGAAGTTCGATTTTTGTGGTCGCACAAACTACTATGCATCTATTTTCGATTTCCTGTCTTCTATCTGTCTAGCAGCAACCCATATATATATATAATTGTCTAAACGTTATGTCGGCTGTTGTGTTTGTCTACAATACAGCGCTTTAAACATTCATTTACCCATTTTAGACTATATATACAATGTTTATGGAAATCAAGCTTTGTCCATCCTAACCGAATCGTGTGTAATTTAAGATATGCATTACTGATGATAAAGAAATGCCGGTGTAATACTTAGTTTTAAGAACTTATATTTAAAATGAAGTTTTATCTACGATGTACTTGATATTTCACAGGCTAAAATAACAGATATGTGTTATTTGTTTCTATACTCTGGATTAACTCCGAACCAAAGGAGCGCATGGGTAGCGTGGTCCTGACTTGAATGAAACCATGAGGATGAAATTATACCAAGATAAAGATAATAAATTTCGTTTGTTTACAGGGAGTAAGCCCTTATTTCGTCCTTGACTCACCTCTAATGCATATGTCTTGCATGCGACAAACGCAAACACAACGTATTTTTCTTTGCATAATTATTATTTCATTCATACTAATATACCAATAACAAAAATACTGTAAAACACGGATAAAGAGTATATGTTATTGTTTACCAGGTAAAACACAGCTCGAGTCTCAAATCAAGAATCTCAAATCAAAATAAAATAAAATGAAAATTTAAAATAAAAAAGTGTTGTTTTGTTGTTGTTTTGTTGTTGTTGCTTTTGAATTGCAAAATGTAATTGTATTTGGACAACAGTTTAACTGTCCGTCAACTAAAATTCCTGTCAATACATCAATTTATCATTGCCAAAGACAAACTATTACATCGTATTCAATATGTCATTTTTAAGGAGGCACGGTAGTCTAGTGGTAGGACGACGGGCTCGTGACTGAAGGGTTACGGGTTCAATTCCTGGCACGGCACTGTGTTGTACTTTTCCAGTCTACTCAGCTGTAAATGAGTACGTGGTTAGGCAGTGCTAGAATTCTAGAATGCTAGCTGTGCTAGCCAGGGAGTTGAGAAAGATATTGGCTGGTTGCAAAGGCCCTATAACCACAGATGATAATTTGATAAAAACATTGATGATAATTGGTGAAAATGAATTATTGTATCATATTTGATATGTAATCATGAAGTCCTGAAAGACCAAATAACTATTTCATAATCAACACATACAAAAAGTAAAATGCGAATGTTGCCCTTGGAGAGAACAAATTACTGCAAATTAATCAATATCAAATATGACTTTCGACGGAAAAAAAAGTATCTTACAATATGTAAAGTTAACATTGAAGGCCAAGCATCTAAGATGGCCTACCGCATCACTGAATACTGTGTTGCATATATACCATCATAAAGGTGTAAAAGGTGAGTTTCTATCTTTAAATTAACGCTCAAACAACAAAGCAGATTTTATTTAATCCGTATTGGTAGATTCATTCGGTTTATGATACAAAATTATCTTCCGTCGAAAGTTGAGTTTCTGGATTTCATTTCCATTGCAAGCAAAATGTATCATACACACTAGTGTATGTTGAATCGGAAGTTTCGGCTTACGAATTACCTGTAGTAAGTGAATATCGGCTAATATATCATATATATATATCTACAATAATTTATACATTGCGATCCAAGTTCTCGTTTCATCGATAGGTGATTTGTTCTTATGAAAATACTCAGAAACCATTGCAACTCCCCATATCTCCATTTTGGGCAGGTTGTTAGGTCAGAGCTGCGAATATTTTTGTCCGGTTATTCCTTAAAATACCTGTCATACAATGTAATTCGTTACAGGCGGTAACAACGCCAACTTTATCAGATAAAAAAACGAATTCTGTAGTGTCATCAAAACCAAAGTTCAAACTTAAAACAAATAAAAATCAGGCAAAAAAGGGAAAAAGAAGACTTACATGAAGAATCTGAAAGAGTACAGGACCAAGTGTTCCGGAAGAGTAAGTGTATTCTGTATAATCGACGGTACCCGCCATATAAATCTAGGTCAAATCCAAGTTATGTCACGTCCTAACATCGAGAACTCGGCAACAAAACCACAAGGCAAACTACTTGTTATGAGCATAATCAAAACGTAATTGAAGATTTATATGTATTATGTGCATTTTCACTAAATAATTACCATACATCATTAAATCTGATCGTGAATTTTAGTACTTAATATTAATGTTTCCATAGGAAACTAAATGGACGGTTAAAAATAAATCTTCCTGAAGCGTTGTTATTGCGTCAGAAACGGAGGCAACACTTTTCGTCAGTAGGGCGTCAATAAAAACAAAATGAACGTATTGGTCATTGATATTTTGTTCGATAACACTTTTCAGTGATGCTGGAAATTGTTGAAAAAAGAAGGATAACTTAGGGACTGTTGCTGAACTGAAGTCGTTTGCACTGTATTTACGTTGTAAAATGTCACTGAGTATCATATTTGCCCTAGCATAACACCCGAGACAAAATCTTTATTAATTTGAAATGCTTGTGCAAATCTTGTCTTGTCAAAAATGTTTAACCCTGAAGCTATTATATCAGGTTGGAAAAGGGAGTTTTTCATAATGCTTATTACTGTATCTTGCTATTTTGTTGTTATTATCCCGTTTCTCACTATGGTGATATGACATTACTCGGGCCCTGACTTAAATGACGTGACGTCGATGTAGTAAAAGACGTGTCCAATTGTGGAACACCAACTCGTACACTGCTTGTATTTTTCAGTGATTTTCATGTAAAATTTTCATTTGTTAGCGTTTTGCCCTACATTTATAATTTTATCGATTTTGAGTTCGAAATATGATTATGTTGATACCCCGGCATTCATGTGTTGTTTTTGGTATCTGATAGGTATTGTTCATTATGTTTAAAACAACATTATGTGATCTTTATTATGAAATATCATACATATATGTTAATTATTCATCCAAAAGTTGGTAAAAAGCTTACCAAGTATTTACCTACAGATCATATTTGCTGAATATATTCAATTTTTTTTCTCATTCTGCTTCAGCTATCAAACACCAATTTAAAATGTATTTATTATAAATGGTTTTACCAGAGACAGATCGAACAGCACAACATTTCAACAGTTTCCAAAATCCTTATTGTTTGACCAATTTCGCAAAACAGGATATTTTTTAAAATCGTTATTTTAACAGCTTTAATATAGGACCAGGAATCGGTTGATGAATGCCGCGGGAATATCGCGTTGAAGTTTGATTTTTTTAGTAAGAACAATGAAGGACTGTGTCGCTTACTCGTTTTTCTCATATTCTAGATAGATACATTTGTAACTCGATTTTTTTTTATCTTAATTGGTATCCAAACTACTTCAGAAAAATGCTGCGGGCGCATGCTCCGTGTGTACAACTTCCCAGAACGACGGTACCTTTGCCCATTTAAACTAGTAACAAAGAGCAAATTTCAACGGTTTCCAAATTCCTTATTTTTGGACCAATTTCGTAAAACAAGATATTTTTTAAATCGTTATTTTACCTGCTTAGCGATAAGATCAACTACTCCAGAAAAATGCTGCGAGCGCATGCTTCGTCTGTACACCTTCCCAGAACGACGCACTTGGTACCTTTGCTCGTTTTTCCTAGTAACAAAGAGCATTTCAGCAGTTTCCCAAATCCTTATCTTTTAGACAAATTTAAAACAACAAGATATTTTTGAGATTGTTAGACTACCAGATTTCAGATGAGACCAATTGCGCAGAAATCGGTAAATAAATGCCTTGTGAATATCGCGTTGAAATATGATGTTTTTAGTAAGAACAAAGAAGGACCGTGTAGCTTCCGCGTTTTACACCTATTCTGGTAGAGAAATGGAAATTGTTTTGTATCATCTTAAATGGTATCCATACTTAGTCAGAAAAATGCTGCGTGCGCATACTCAGTGTGTGCACCTTCCCAGAACGACGCATTTGGTACCTTTGCTCATTTGAACTAGTAACAAAGAGCAAAATGCAGCAGTTTCCAAAATCCTTATTTTTGGACCAATTTCAAAAAACAGGATAGGTTTGAGATTGTGCGATTACCAGCTAAACGAATGCGAGTTATCTTTCTTGGCATATTGCTGTAAAGGCTTTAAAATTCGAGATGATTAATTCTGAAAGTCATCTGCAAAAACTGCTTCCACCGAGAAAACTAGAAACACGGTGAAACCAGATTAGCATGGATTTCATACAGATATACAGTGTATCCATGTTCTAAATAGAGTATGAATAGTTTCTCCAATGGACAAGCTTTACAATTGGCCCAACATCGGGTAAACCCAATATTGACTAAGCATTGGTTAAATGCATATATGATTATTGAGGACGTGTTTAAGTGATTTATGGAGAAAAAAATCCTCAGCAAAATATTGTTGTGCTCCATTTGGACTTGTGGGATGTCAATGTTCAGACTGTGCTGTTAATTAAAGTGACTAGCAGCTCGCTTTTGATATTCTACCAATTCGATTTGTTATACTAAGCACCAGTTATGGCTGGTGTGACCTTGATCAAGTGTTATTATTTTATCCACTTTATCTGAGATCCAATAAAATCATTTAGATGTCTGTTGTATTGATCCAGATATATTTTTTACATGCGTGGGTGATCCTTGGGATTTTCTGTAGATACGCCGGCTTAATACGCATTTTGCTGTGGTATTTGTTGATAGAGATTAGGCACATATTTTGGAAACATGTTTGACCTTTTTCTTGATATTTCAAAATATATCAACATAACACACGTTCCGGCTGTTGACCCATTGGCTTCTTGTGCTGACTCACCTTCAGGATTGTCGTGTATTCTCTTTGATTGCCTGAAACAGTTTCGAAGTTCGACAAAACTCAGTTAAATAATTCCGCAAAGAAAAGTCACATGCGGTTTAATTGACCAATGAGAATTGTTGTTACATTAATAAAGCCGAGATTACAGTGTGTTTTCATTTGACGTCACAGATACAACTTCATTTTGTGATTTTGGAATCCTGTTGGATTATGTTACAGTACGATTACCATACCTGACGTCATGCTTTTAACTGATGATTGTTTATTGTTTTATTTACAATTCGACGTATTCGCAACATCTTTCGTCATAAATTTATATGAACACTTTGTTCACAGACGATGTGCCCAGGGAAAAAGCAGCGACGAAAGACAAGAGACAAGGAAGCGCGGTAGTCTAGTGGTAGAACGCCGGGCTCGTGACCGAAGGGTTGCGTGTTCGAGTCACGGCACGGCACTGTGTTGTATCTTTGAGCAATTACAAGATATTCTACTCCGCTTGTTCCAGACTACTCAGCTGTAAATGAGTACATGGTTGGGCAGTGCTAGAATTGTTGAATGTTAGCTGTTAGCGCCGAAATGGCAGCTCCGGCTGCATGCTCCCAAAAGAGTTGGGAAAAGTATTGGCTGGTAGCAAAGGCCATATAACCACGGATAATAATTTGTGAACCGCTTTGAGACGACCTACGAGCTGGGTTGTGATAAAGCTGTATATAAGAACCTGGAATTATTATTATTAGAATAATAATTAAATCATAGAGGTCCGGAAGACTGCAATATATGCAGCTGATAATTTAAAGGTCACCGAAGAAAACATTCGATTTTGCAGATGTTTGGAATTATTTCCTCCTTTACTGTTAAACAATCGATCGCCGAAGGCTATTTACTTTAAAATCTCCAAATTTA